ACAATGTTACTTTGTATCTCTCTATCTCCCTCTGTACAATGTTACTTTGTATCTCTCTATCTCCCTCTGTACAATGTTACTTTGTATCTCTCTATCTCCCTCTGTACAATGTTACTTTGTATCTCTCTATCTCCCTCTGTACAATGTTACTTTGTATCTCTCTATCTCCCTCTGTACAATGTTACTTTGTATCTCTCTATCTCCCTCTGTACAATGTTACTTTGTATCTCTCTATCTCCCTCTGTACAATGTTACTTTGTATCTCTCTATCTCCCTCTGTACAATGTTACTTTGTATCTCTCTATCTCCCTCTGTACAATGTTACTTTGTATCTCTCTATCTCCCTCTGTACAATGTTACTTTGTATCTCTCTATCTCCCTCTGTACAATGTTACTTTGTATCTCTCTATCTCCCTCTGTACAATGTTACTTTGTATCTCTCTATCTCCCTCTGTACAATGTTACTTTGTATCTCTCTATCTCCCTCTGTACAATGTTACTTTGTATCTCTCTATCTCCCTCTGTACAATGTTACTTTGTATCTCTCTATCTCCCTCTGTACAATGTTACTTTGTATCTCTCTATCTCCCTCTGTACAATGTTACTTTGTATCTCTCTATCTCCCTCTGTACAATGTTACTTTGTATCTCTCTATCTCCCTCTGTACAATGTTACTTTGTATCTCTCTATCTCCCTCTGTACAATGTTACTTTGTATCTCTCTATCTCCCTCTGTACAATGTTACTTTGTATCTCTCTATCTCCCTCTGTACAATGTTACTTTGTATCTCTCTATCTCCCTCTGTACAATGTTACTTTGTATCTCTCTATCTCCCTCTGTACAATGTTACTTTGTATCTCTCTATCTCCCTCTGTACAATGTTACTTTGTATCTCTCTATCTCCCTCTGTACAATGTTACTTTGTATCTCTCTATCTCCCTCTGTACAATGTTACTTTGTATCTCTCTATCTCCCTCTGTACAATGTTACTTTGTATCTCTCTATCTCCCTCTGTACAATGTTACTTTGTATCTCTCTATCTCCCTCTGTACAATGTTACTTTGTATCTCTCTATCTCCCTCTGTACAATGTTACTTTGTATCTCTCTATCTCCCTCTGTACAATGTTACTTTGTATCTCTCTATCTCCCTCTGTACAATGTTACTTTGTATCTCTCTATCTCCCTCTGTACAATGTTACTTTGTATCTCTCTATCTCCCTCTGTACAATGTTACTTTGTATCTCTCTATCTCCCTCTGTACAATGTTACTTTGTATCTCTCTATCTCCCTCTGTACAATGTTACTTTGTATCTCTCTATCTCCCTCTGTACAATGTTACTTTGTATCTCTCTATCTCCCTCTGTACAATGTTACTTTGTATCTCTCTATCTCCCTCTGTACAATGTTACTTTGTATCTCTCTATCTCCCTCTGTACAATGTTACTTTGTATCTCTCTATCTCCCTCTGTACAATGTTACTTTGTATCTCTCTATCTCCCTCTGTACAATGTTACTTTGTATCTCTCTATCTCCCTCTGTACAATGTTACTTTGTATCTCTCTATCTCCCTCTGTACAATGTTACTTTGTATCTCTCTATCTCCCTCTGTACAATGTTACTTTGTATCTCTCTATCTCCCTCTGTACAATGTTACTTTGTATCTCTCTATCTCCCTCTGTACAATGTTACTTTGTATCTCTCTATCTCCCTCTGTACAATGTTACTTTGTATCTCTCTATCTCCCTCTGTACAATGTTACTTTGTATCTCTCTATCTCCCTCTGTACAATGTTACTTTGTATCTCTCTATCTCCCTCTGTACAATGTTACTTTGTATCTCTCTATCTCCCTCTGTACAATGTTACTTTGTATCTCTCTATCTCCCTCTGTACAATGTTACTTTGTATCTCTCTATCTCCCTCTGTACAATGTTACTTTGTATCTCTCTATCTCCCTCTGTACAATGTTACTTTGTATCTCTCTATCTCCCTCTGTACAATGTTACTTTGTATCTCTCTATCTCCCTCTGTACAATGTTACTTTGTATCTCTCTATCTCCCTCTGTACAATGTTACTTTGTATCTCTCTATCTCCCTCTGTACAATGTTACTTTGTATCTCTCTATCTCCCTCTGTACAATGTTACTTTGTATCTCTCTATCTCCCTCTGTACAATGTTACTTTGTATCTCTCTATCTCCCTCTGTACAATGTTACTTTGTATCTCTCTATCTCCCTCTGTACAATGTTACTTTGTATCTCTCTATCTCCCTCTGTACAATGTTACTTTGTATCTCTCTATCTCCCTCTGTACAATGTTACTTTGTATCTCTCTATCTCCCTCTGTACAATGTTACTTTGTATCTCTCTATCTCCCTCTGTACAATGTTACTTTGTATCTCTCTATCTCCCCCTCTGTACAATGTTTATATATAATGTTACTTTGTATCTCTGTATCTCCCTCTGTACAATGTTACTTTGTATCTCTCCCTCTTTACAATGTTACTTTGTATCTCTCTATCTCCCTCTGTACAATGTTACTTTGTATCTCTCTATCTCCCTCTGTACAATGTTTATAAACACTGTATAACATAAACTTGTGGCACTCACCATTGTTCTTCCGGAGGGGACACATAGACTAGTTTATGTAACAGAGGTTACCCCAGGAGATCCCAATGTTCCTTTTGCCTTTTCCTTCACAAGAATGGATCCTGATGCTCACTTGTATCCGAGCACTTCAGTCATTCAGTCCCCAGACAAGCGTCAGGGGCACTCGCAGTATACAACACTCTTAATTATAGCAATAATAGGCAAAGGTTAAAAGCTTCTGATGTATAACACACGCTTTCTTCTGGCACTCAGATCCTTTGCCTGTTTTTGATATAATATAGAGAGTTGTTTGCTGTAAGTACCCTTGACGTGTCTCTTTATGGACTGTATTCAGAAGCACTGTGTCAAAAAGATCCCTTTTTTTTTAATGACAGCAGCAGCTAATACAGTTGTATTTACATCGCTTCTCTGCCTTTTGGCTAAGATCAAGTGTAGTATCTGTTCTTATCAGCGATCAGGAGGGGAAAGGAGCCGCTGTACTGGCCTTATGGCGTGTATGGCTGGAATCTGAGTACCCTGCCTGAGTGATGGGGTCCTGGCTATGTAGAGGAAACCGAATCAAGCGTCCACTCACGTAAGAGTGGGGGTCGGGAGTACTTCTCGGGTGCTGAGATCTGGCAGGGCCCAATTCCTCCTGATTTGAATGGGTCTTCATTGTCTGGCCATGGGCTGGGAAGGCACGAAGCCTGCGGTGTTTAGCGCCCCCTGGGGGTGCCCTAATAGCACTATGGGTTTGGGACCCCACTGTGTGAAAGGCAGGTTGGCAACGACACCTTCTGCTTTTGCTGCACATCGCCTCATGGGCTTGGCCGTTTGGCTAACACCAGGGGTAATTTTTATTACCGGGCCGGAAGGCCAAGCCATAGTCTTGCACTTTGGCACTTATTTATTTTTCTCACTTTGTATATGCACTTCAATTTTTTTATGTGTTTTTTCACTCCACAGGATGGAGGGTGGAGGTCTTCGGGCCTACCCTGAAGTCTAGGGGGAGGATTTGGGGCCCTCATGTTCTTTCCTCCCCTGAATCGGGGGTCTCCCTTCGGGGTAGCCCCCAAGCTAGTACTCGGTGGTTGGCTTCAGCTGGCCTTGAGGAATGGGTCCACCTGCTTTCGTCCAGGTGGACACGAGTGCCTTGCCCCTGTCAGGAGCCTTGCGCCCCGGGGGGTCGGGTATGGGCCCTGTCTCTTCGGAAGACGGACCCTTTAGATGCACCCCTTCTGTGCACTTTTGTGTGTGTGTTCACATGCACTCTTTTGGCTCACTTTTTGGGTGTTCGATGCACGCACTGGAGCAACTCCCCACTGTCTCTGCAGATGGAAAGGGAGAGAAGCAGAAGGAAAGGGCGTACTACCTATGTCCTGTGTGCTTCCATTAAGTTTTTTTGGATGTGTGTAGCACGCCCATTTTCCACAACTGGTAATATTGGCTCCTTCATATTGATTGGCTCATTCCGTCATTTGATGGGCGCAACCTAGAGCTTTTTTTCCAGCTGCTGAAGTTACTTGGAGTCCTTTTTATTTCAGGGCTGTATGCCCATAGGTAGACACCTGACTATCAAACCTACTGCATGGGGAAATGTATGTGGATTCCCTCTTCCCCAAATAATTGAGTTATGGTATTTCCAGCAAAGTGCACTGTTAATACTTGAACATACAAAGACATTTTAGACAATTGTGGTAATAGTTTGGCGAAGGCCCTTTTCTGTTTCAGCATGACTGTGCCCCTGTGCCAGCTTTATATAGACAAGGTTTGACCAGTTTGGTGAAGGAACCTGAGTGTCCTGCCCAGAGCTCCAACTTCAACCCTACTGAGCACTTCTGGGATGCATTGAAATGCTGATTGTGAGCCAGGTCTTCTCATCCAACTTCAGCACCTGACCTCAAAAAGGAGCCGCAAATCCCACAGACACACTTTAAAATCTTGGGCAAGCCTTCCCAGAAGGGTGGAGGCTGTCATGGTCACAAATGGGGGCTACTCTGTATTAATGCCAATGGTTCTGGAATGGGATATCCAACAAGGCCATACAGGTGTGATGGTCAGATGTTCACTAGCCATATGGCCATATAGTGTAGTTGGAATAACCTTGTGCAGCCATCTTGTTTCATCAGTCATTTGTACTCCTGGAGGTCTTAAAAGAACCCTGTCGTTTTGGGACTGGGCTTGTTCTGTTACAGTCAATGCTGGGACTAGGACCTTTATCATCCAAGGTGAAAACGCCAGAGTCTGCCCCTCATAAGCATAGGTTGTCCTGCCTACCCCTTGGCCCGGCTCTGGTGACAGTATACAGAGAGCCCCTTCCATTTTTCCACCTCTATTCTACAATTGTTCTGCAATCCCTGTGATACTTTGGAGGATTGAGAAGCCCGTAACTCCCTTTCTTTTTCTCCTGCAGATGTCTGGAATGGACCATAGGAATCTGGCTATGTTAGGAGTAGGATCTGATCCAGAAGGGCCTGTGAACCCCCCCTCTGCAGCCACCAGCTTGGACAACAAGGAGCAAAGCACGGAAAGCGGCCCCAGCCAAGACCCACAGCACTTTTCCATCACCCAGACGGACTTCTCTGAGGGAAACGTACGTCTAAAGATCGGACTGCAGGCCAAAAGGACTAAGAAGCCCCCGAAAAACCTGGAGAACTATGTGTGTCGGCCTGCAATAAGAACCAGCATAAAGCAGACGCGGAAGAGCAGAAAGATGACCGAGGAGGGCAGTGAAGAGGTGGGTCAGAGCTCCTGTCTTGTCCTTCCCTTTTCTTTGTAGAAGAAGATCTATTTACAAGTTTGTTTCTGGTCAGTGACTCAGAGCATTGATGTCAGGGAGCCAGGCAGCTAGCATTTCCAGAAGGAGGGCAGCAGATCCTTTCCTGCTTCTTATTTGTATATAATGAGATAGGCCACAACAATACACTGGCAGAAAGTAAAACGAATTACTCTGAAATTAACCTTTAACTCTGCAGAGTTCTGGGGAAATGCCATTTACAGGAGCAAGAGGAAGAGGCTTCTGGAAATTGAGAATGGTTGCCGTGTTTGTATTTGAATTTCTGGTGGTTTTCTGCTAGTTTGAGGAAAATCATAGCTGGTTAGAGAGGAAATTGGAAAGGGAATTATTAATAACAGAATTGCATGTGCACATATAATATTAGGGCCTGGCTCAGGGTTTACTGCTGTATCCCAATGTTACTCAGGGTTTATATCCGGATATAGTTCTGGATTTAAATCTGATCGCTCAGAGTTTACTGCTGGAACCTGATATAGCTCAGGGTTTATTGCTAGAACCTGATATAACTCGGGGTTTATTGCTAGAACCTGATATAACTCGGGGTTTATTGCTGGAACCTGATATAACTCGGGGTTTATTGCTGGAACCTGATATAACTCGGGGTTTATTGCTGGAACCTGATATAACGCAGGGTTTATTGCTGGAACCTGATATAACTCGGGGTTTATTGCTGGAACCTGATATAACTCTGGGTTTATTGCTGGAACCTGATATAACTCGGGGTTTATTGCTAGAACCTGATATAACTCTGGGTTTATTGCTGGAACCTTATATAACTCGGGGTTCATTGCTGGAACCTGATATAACTCGGGGTTTATTGCTGGAACCTGATATAACTCAGGGTTTATTGCTGGAACCTGATATAACTCGGGGTTTATTGCTAGAACCTGATATAACTCGGGGTTTATTGCTAGAACCTGATATAACTCTGGGTTTATTGCTGGAACCTGATATAACTCGGGGTTTATTGCTAGAACCTGATATAACTCGGGGTTTATTGCTGGAACCTGATATAATTCCGGGTTTATTGCTGGAACCTGATATAACACGTGGTTTATTGCTGGAACCTGGTATAACACGTGGTTTATTGCTGGACCCTGATATAACTTGGGGTTTATTGCTGGAACCTGATATAACTGGGGGTTTATTGCTGGAACCTGATATAACGCGGGGTTTATTGCTGGAACCTGATATAACGCGGGGTTTATTGCTGGAACCTCATATTGCTCAGTGTTTATTGTTAGAACCTGATATAGTTGAGGGTATATAACTTGAACCTGATCTAGCTCAGGGATTACTGCAGGAACATAATATAACTCGGGGCTTACAGCTAGAACCTGATATAACTCCGGGTTTATTTCTGGAACCTGATTGCTCAGTGTTTATTACTGAAAACTTATATGGCTCAGGGTTTGTGCTGGAACTCAATATAGCTCAGGGCTTACTGCAGAAACCTGATCCAGCTCCCAGTTTATTACTGCAATGTGATGAAGCTAAGTGTTTACTACTGGAACCTGATATAGATCAGGGTTTACTATTGGGACCACTAATATAGCTCAGAGTTTATTGCTGGAACTCAATAAAGCTTAGCTGTTTTTTCTTGCTGAAGTCCAAAATAACTCGGGGTTTACTGCTTAAACCTGAAATAACTCAGTCATTACTGCTGGAACCTGATATAGGTCAGGGTTTATTGCTGTTACCTGTTATAACCCAGTGTTTAATGCTGGAACCTGATTTACCTCATGGTTTATTGCTGGAACCTATTGCTGGAACCAAATACAGCTCTAGTTTTATTGCAGAAACCCGATATAGCTCGGGGTTTGCTGCTAGTACCTGATATAACTCGGGGTTTATTGCTGGAACCTTATATAGTTCAGGGTTATTGCTGGAGACTGATATCACTCTGGGTTTACTACTAGAACCTGATCTAACTCGGGATTTATTGCTGGAACCTAATATAGCTCATGGTTTACTACTGGAACCTGATATAACTCGGGATTTATTGCTGGAACCTAATATAGCTCATGGTTTACTACTGGAACCTGATATAACTGGGGGTTTATTGCTGGAACCTGATATAACTCGGGGTTTATTGCTGGAACCTGATATAACTGGGGGTTTATTGCTGGAACCTGATATAACTCAGGGTTCATTGCTGGAACCTGATATAACTCGGGGTTCATTGCTGGAACCTGATATAACTCGGGGTTCATTAGCTCAGGGTTTGCTGCTAGAACCTGATATAACTCGGGGTTTATTGCTGTAACCTGATATAACTCCGGGTTTGTTGCTGGAACCTGATATAACTCGGGGTTTATTGCTGGAACCTGATATAACGCAGGATTTATTCCTGGAACCTGATATAACACAGGATTTATTCCTGGAACCTGATATAACGCAGGGTTTATTGCTGGAACCTGATATAACGCAGGGTTTATTCCTGGAACCTGATATAACACAGGATTTATTCCTGGAACCTGATATAATTCCGGGTTTATTGCTGGAACCTGATATAACGCAGGGTTTATTGCTGGAACCTGATATAACTCAGGGTTTATTGCTGGAACCTGATATAACTCGGGGTTTATTGCTGGAACCTGATATAACTCTGGGTTTATTGCTGGAACCTGATATAACTCGGGGTTTATTGCTGGAACCTGATATAACGCAGGGTTTATTGCTGGAACCTGATATAACGCGGGGTTTATTGCTGGAACCTCATATTGCTCAGTGTTTATTGTTAGAACCTGATATAGTTGAGGGTATATAACTTGAACCTGATCTAGCTCAGGGATTACTGCAGGAACATAATATAACTCGGGGCTTACAGCTAGAACCTGATATAACTCCGGGTTTATTTCTGGAACCTGATTGCTCAGTGTTTATTACTGAAAACTTATATGGCTCAGGGTTTGTGCTGGAACTCAATATAGCTCAGGGCTTACTGCAGAAACCTGATCCAGCTCCCAGTTTATTACTGCAATGTGATGAAGCTAAGTGTTTACTACTGGAACCTGATATAGATCAGGGTTTACTATTGGGACCACTAATATAGCTCAGAGTTTATTGCTGGAACTCAATAAAGCTTAGCTGTTTTTTCTTGCTGAAGTCCAAAATAACTCGGGGTTTACTGCTTAAACCTGAAATAACTCAGTCATTACTGCTGGAACCTGATATAGGTCAGGGTTTATTGCTGTTACCTGTTATAACCCAGTGTTTAATGCTGGAACCTGATTTACCTCATGGTTTATTGCTGGAACCTATTGCTGGAACCAAATACAGCTCTAGTTTTATTGCAGAAACCCGATATAGCTCGGGGTTTGCTGCTAGTACCTGATATAACTCGGGGTTTATTGCTGGAACCTTATATAGTTCAGGGTTATTGCTGGAGACTGATATCACTCTGGGTTTACTACTAGAACCTGATCTAACTCGGGATTTATTGCTGGAACCTAATATAGCTCATGGTTTACTACTGGAACCTGATATAACTCGGGATTTATTGCTGGAACCTAATATAGCTCATGGTTTACTACTGGAACCTGATATAACTGGGGGTTTATTGCTGGAACCTGATATAACTCAGGGTTCATTGCTGGAACCTGATATAACTCGGGGTTCATTGCTGGAACCTGATATAACTCGGGGTTCATTAGCTCAGGGTTTGCTGCTAGAACCTGATATAACTCGGGGTTTATTGCTGTAACCTGATATAACTCCGGGTTTGTTGCTGGAACCTGATATAACTCGGGGTTTATTGCTGGAACCTGATATAACGCAGGGTTTATTGCTGGAACCTGATATAACTCGGGGTTTATTGCTGTTTAAACTAAATATGGCTCAAATGGCTCAGAATTTACTGTTGGGCTCCTATATGGCTCTAACTTCTACCTGTGGCAGCCAATTAGGTGCTAGATGTCTTCTCGGTTTCTGGGGGCAATAACATTCTTTTTTCAGTCAAACTCTTCCTGTTCTGGAGGCCCGTTGGCCTTTTATCAGAAGATAATAGAATTGGCTTCATTTCGCAGAATGTATTGAATATGTTGTGCCCTTGCAGCCAGTCAGATTCATACCACCACTGAAAAATGAATCTGATTGGTCAGTGATTTAACAGAGGGTTGGCTGGTAAGTAAGGGTCAGATTTCTGGGGTTCCTTCCATAGGAGTGACAGTGGCCTGGCTTCTGTTTGTCATCCCCAGATTAACACACAACATATGCCGGCCAGCACCAGATGCAGAACATTTGTCACAGGCCTGCTGTGTGTAGGCCCAAGGATCAATCTTCAATATCAGTTGTTGGCACTAAGCCGAGCTCCGGGTAAACATTTTATTAACCCTTGCAGTATGGCTACCCCCGCACTGCAAGGGTTAAGTGGCCATTTTTGCCTAGGGTCCAAAATAAGTTATACTCTAATAAAATAATTTTTTTTTTTTTTTTAAAGTTATACTCACCCCATGCTCTGAGCCGCCGACTGTAACAGAGCTTCCTTCAGCCTCTCTCCTCCTCTATTGCAGGGATGGTACGTCTCTCTGTGTCCTCACATCCCATACACTGTGTATATAATGTGATAACTTAGGGACCTTAGACCGCTGCAGCGGAGGGGGAGAGGGTCTCCAGGGACCGGTCTAAGAGCAAGTCGGCTCAGAGGATCAGGTAAGTATAACTTTGTAATTTTGACCCTAGGCAAGAAAAAGCACTTAATCCTTGCAGTACAAGGGTTACAAAAATGTATGGCCGGAGTTCTGCTTTAACTTGAACACTGAATGTGTCGTGGCATCAGATGTCATTCACATGATGGCAGTGACTCGGTCCTACTTGCTATAGTGTCCTTGGCATCCACTGACTGCAACGTCTATAGATGTAAGAAATGCCAGTAGCAACCGGCACATCCCATTCAGGCACCTACTTGGCTGTTGTGGAAATCACAGACATTCCTGTAT